CAAACCATCCAAAGTCAAGACCTTTCTCAAACTATTCAGCAGAACAAAGGAACCAATCCCAACCGAGAACCTCCTAATGCCAAGAGAAACCGGCGGCAATTTCCAATCAGCCCAGGACGATGATAGGGATGAGACACCCGCCACAAAAGCAGGGAAAAGTCAGCGAAGGCTGTTCAAAAGACGGAAGGAATGAGTATAAGTTCAGTTGCAGGACGATGATGAGTTCATCTACAGCTGAGAGTCTTCATCTCAGCGGCGATGTGTTGATCCTGCGCTACTGCTGGTGCTTGTTGAATGCACCAAAAACAGCGACGGTAACGATGCTCGGGGTTGGATGAATGTTTGGTCTCAGCGACTCCTTGCGTCATTGTCTATTGGTATATTTCAAATGAAGCGTTTTGTGTCCGTACCCTTTCTTGTCCTTGCTGCCGCTGGTGATTGCTTGAAAAATGAGATCTTCAAAAGCAACATTTACTTTGGCATCTGGCCCTGTCGTGCTACACCCCCAATATGACCGTCCCGAAACACAGGAAGTGACCGCTTAATCTAAAACTGCTAAACAAATGGTATCGATTGCGGAACTTCATTACTTGTGACATGATGCCTCATAAAATGCTTCATCTGTTGGTTCGTGTGCTAAGAACCAAACCTGTCGCTCAAACGCTCCTTTTCAATTGACAAGAAGTGCAGGTCATCCTCGAGCTTGGAAAGGTCCTCCCTTGCACGCTCCAGTGTTGCCAACGTCTCGTCCACGGCGGCCTGGGCCACCCTAAGCTCTCTTTCACCCACCCTTCTCGTATCCTGTAGCCGTTCTGTTTGATGTGCTGCTGAGTCCATCTTGACCCTGACGGCCCTCTTCAGGGCGTCGAAGAGCATGCCGGGTTGAAGGCCCATGTCTGTCTCCTCCGGCGGCTGAGACGGCGATGCCAGGGCTCGACCCATGTCGTTGGCGCTGTGGTCGTCGTGCGCGTGAAGTACGGCGGGGTATCTGGCAACGAGATCGTCAAGGCCTGCGAGGAAGCCCTGAAATTGGTCCATCTGGGCGGCGACGGCGTCCCCCGATGAGAGACTCTCGAGTTTGGCGCGGGCGGCCTCCAGGTGTCGTTGCTCCTGAGCATACTCGTGCTGGCGGAGCTTGACCGTTGTCCGCTGTATGTCGACCCTGTACCCCAGCTTCTCGATATCGCCCTCGAGGTCAGCCATCATGCTCTCCCGTTTCCTCTTGTGGCGCTCTACTACCGTGATGCCTTCTGTGTCGTCAGTCATGGGGGTCGTGCTGCTCTCGCTCCTCCGCGGCGGGTCCGGGGGCCTTGGGCGGTGTTCTGGCGGGTTGTTTGTTCTTGATGTAGTCCCCGGCCATGGCCCTTGCGGGGTTGACGCGGGAATATGGGATTCGGGGCGGAAACTGTTCCGGGATGATGAGGACGCTGTGGTGGTGGTGGTGGTGGTAGGAGCGGTGGTCTGCGTTCTTTGTGGCGGTTCGGTCATGGCGCGGATTGCCGAGGTATCGGTCTTGAGTGACGTTATTGGAGGTGGCCTTTGCCGTGGCGATGCCATGGCCCTGATATTTGGTTCTGGGTCGTCGGTGGCCCTGGTGGGCCTAGACCGTGGCGATTCCTCTGCTCTCGTATGTGCCACCGAGTTGCCAAAGGTCCTTGCTGTCGTGGGAGACCGGGCTCTTGGCGGCGGCGCGGCCATGACGTTGGTTTCTCGACGGTTAGTCTCTCGATGATTGGTCGCTCTGGCGGACGTGGCGGTTTTCGTTTCTGGAATTTGGACTACGATTTCGCTTGCCGGGCTGCTGTGACGTTGACCGGCAGATGATGATTGCTGTGAGTATTGCGATTGACGAGAGTATTCCCGTTGATGTGAATGCTGGGACTGCCGTGATGGTTGCGGTTGATGTGAGTTTTGTGATTGACGGGAGTTTTGGGGCAAGGCCCAAGCCGGCGTTTGTGACGGCAGGCCGTGTATTGGTGATGAGCGGGCGGGAGTACCATCTTCGTCCCTTGGCTGGAATAGTGTCAGCGGTGATTCTGAGATGTTTGGTCCCGACGACGTACCCCTAGACTCATCCGACGATCTCCATCGTCGAATGTTGACGGGCCGGCCTCATAGTAGTCACTGCGGCTGCCGACTGCGGCGTTGCGCGCCAGGAGTTGGAGGGCGGTGGAGGACCATTGTAATGAAGGCCCTGTGCGTGGGTTGGAAGACGGGGCGGTGGTGATAGAGGTTGAGGCGGAGGTTGAGGCGGGGGATGATGCCGTACTTGGATGATAAGATGAGGCGTCGGCGGAGAGGTCCGGACTCGGCCCGGGTGGATAGGGGCGGGTGTAGTCGGGGGTTTCCGATACCCTGTCCAGACGCCTCATCGCCTGGTTCGCCGCCGGCGAGGGCGAGTACTGGCTGTATACGTCGGAATGCCCTCGTATTTGAGCTTCCTGTGCAGCATGTCAATGACGGCTGTCGTTGGGCCTTTCACTCGGATACGGGAGACATTGAAGCCGAGCTGTGAGGGTTGGACGTGTTTTCGGAACGGACCTGTCTATCAAGAACGCGCATGACATCAACATCACTCAAGTGATCGCGACGGATGCCCCTATTGCGGGTGCGGTTGGCCAGGCGGGCCGTGACTTCGTTTGACAGCAGGATGCGGGCTTGCTCGAGGTTGACGAGGCGGCAGAGCATGCACAGGTGTTTGCGCAGGTTGTTGCTCCAGGAGCGCGGCGACAGCTTGGGGCCGAGGATGTCCTCGAGGCGGGAGATGCGCCACGTTGATAGGACTTTTTCGGCCTGCGCCTCGGTGAGGTTCATCGCGACGCAATCGTGCGCGCACGCGCGCGAACTCAATCAAGGCCGTCGTTCGAGTTGTGCGGCGGCGGCGATTGATGAGATGCGACGTCGAGGGCGGTGGACGGGCGGGTGGGTGAGCGAGCGAGTGACGTGGAGTGAATGAGTGGGTGGCTTAGTGAGGGTGGATTGAGCTGGCACACCGCGACGAGGCGAGGGCGGGATGGACGCTGGAGCCCATCACACTGCAGTGGGGACGGTTCAGTGGTGGTTTAAGGCACAGTGGAGGTGCCCAAGCGGTGCCCCGGGGAAGACATCAGGCTGTCGGATTAACTCATCTACGGGGGTTGTTCCGAGATGGGCCGTCCAGTTGAGGTGAGTCGGTAGAATTTCTTTGGTGTTCATGCAGCCCGCCCAGAGGAACTGTTTGTTTGTCTGTTGGTTGGGGATCCCTCCCGACGGAGCCACCGCAGATTGAAAACAAGGGAAGTGCATTACCATTCATCCGACTTGTGCCCTCCCGGTGCCTGGCTGTTGACAAGCATCGCATTTCCAGATGAGTTGATATCCGTCGTGAGATCCCACGCCACCTCCCGGGTGGCGCCCCGATGCAGGGCCCACATCTGCGGCAACCGAGCCGGAACACCAGTGCAGCTCGGCCACGGCCGTGGGGCAACAAATCGGAGGAAGGCGCAATGAGTGCTGCATTTCAGCTGTGCCTGCCTGCCCTGGTGAATTTGGACGCGACTACACCGCGATCGATGACTACCTTAGGTATGCAAAACACTCACTCACCTGGAAGGTGCACCTGCGATCCATCCGTGGCAGTCGGCGGGCGACGCAGAAACATGCTCCCCGCCAACAACACCTCCAATCTCCCGGTCCATCACGAATAAATCTCGCCATTCGGCCCTGGAAAATACGTCACTGCAAGCAATCGTAGGATAGCATCACCATCATGATGCCTTACAGTATGCCCTCCCCCCACAAATTTCCCATTCTTTGCAGTCGACTGACACGACAGACAGCCAGACTGCAGCCAAGAATCATCTACCACACCGCGGGTTTCCACGTCCTCAACACCGACGGCGACGTCAAGAGACAATCCAGACTCGCTGTCCAAGACCTTCGGCACCTCTTTCCCAACTCTTCCGTCACCGTTGAGACTGTCTGGCACGGCGACACTGCACATACCGTCATCGACATTCAAGGCGGTTTCATCGACAGCGACAGGTATGCCACGGGGTTCGAGATCATGAAGGACCTTTTCATGGGCTACTCCATTTCAACGTCGACCACCGAGCTGCCAATTCTTGTCGAGTAAAGGTGCGACGGCTCCCGCTGGCTTCCATCAGATTGTGTGGGGCGAAGGGCGACGGAGACAAGCAAGCACCGTCATGGGCATAAAGAGTCCCGAATTTGGCAAGACCGAGGGTATACAACAAGGATAATTAGGGATTGGTTAACAAGCATTGCTTCTGGGCGCGACGAGCGGCTTTCACATCATTGACGCGAAACACGGATGGCATTTAGCCACCCGTACAAGACATCGAATATATCACAAGAAAGTAATCTGTTTCTCCCTCTCCAACGGTCTCTGCATGCGTTACCCGATGAAGATGACGTGCGAGTCAAGAGTCCTGTTTCATCGCTACCCGACCAAAGTCCCCGTGCCTGCAGTTTCGTGGGCCAATACCCGCATGACTTCGAGAGATAAATAGTAGATGAATTACAAAAGAAAAAGAAAGCATTTGTATACCAATTCCTCCTTGGTCATCTCGCTGCTGGCTTTGCCGAAAATCGCAGACGCTGTCTTTCAACCCAACCTCGCTTTCGATGCGAGCAGAAACTCTCAACCGATCCGGCTGACCGAATATATATAACCCAAGGAGTACAGGCATAGGGTCCCCCCGATTGTAGTTTTATCGATGACGATGCTCTCCAACTCATGGTGACCGTCAGCCGGGACTGCGCTGTTGATGCCGACGGGAAGGAAGCCGAAACTCGCCATCTATCGGCAAGAACATGTAACGGCTGAGGGACGGTGCAGCATGGGAGCGCATTCATCAGCAGTGAAATGCAGCCAATGTCTTAAGAACGATATTTAGCCTGTCAAAGTCAAGCTCAAAGGAGTACAAAGCCTTTATGAGTGACAGGACCCAAAAATCAATTACGACCAAGCGTAAAAAATATGTCACAAAACAAAAGATTGATCTGACCCGGGATTGAACCGGGGACCTTCAGTGTGTGAGACTGACGTGATAACCACTACACCACCAGACCAGTTGCTGCTGTTGACAAACGGTAGACAGTGAGAGGATCTTGAGGGCTAGGCTGTGGCTTCGGTTGCCTTGTGTGGAATCGCACGGACTTGAGTGCCCTCGGGCGGCGATACAAAGGGGGACTGCTCGTTTGAGAAGGGGAATGATGGTACCTTTCGTCAGGCACGGACAAGGTGTTCCAGTAAATCCGAATGGAAAAGGCCTACCTAGTCATAAGTGTTGAATTTCGCGGTGATTCGAGACGTGCCGATTTGCAACTGAAGACTCAGCTTGGCGAACCTTTTCTGTGTTGTGACCAAGAGAGATGAGGTTGTCACGAGAATGTTTATTCACCAGGCGGGTAAGGGTATGACTATCATCTTACCTTGGATCAGCCTAGCCTTACAATCATACACATACCCGGTCACTGAAGTCCAAAGTGCCACACTCCATACTATCGTGTTAACGCAATCAAATTTGCCTCAGCCGAGGCCTCCTTCTCCAGCTTTGCTTTTCGCGTTGCCTGCCTCATCTCCTTCTTGGTCAGTCGAACCATCCAGTCAAACTTCAAGTCTCGCTCAATTCTGGACCTGACCTCCCTCAGAAATCTCAAATCGTCTTCCTCAAATGCAAACCCTTTCGCTCGTCGACGTTCCAAGGCTTTCACGAGTGTGCGGACGTATCGGTAGTCGGATCTCCCAAACGCAGACAGCTTCTTCTGTCTTAGTCGGGGGTCTCGCGGGGGCCCGTTGATCACAACAGTTGAAACTTCCCAGCAAGTGGGCATGGTTGGTATTTGATCGTAAGACGCTGCGATATGGGCAGGAGAGCGATGGGTTGGCTGATTGTCGGGTACGTCTGACAGTTGTGTTTGTGATGCCTCCCCTTGAACACCGTCTTCGTGTGTAATTGCCGAAAGCCATGGGCTGCTCGACGCGCCTGGAATCATCGTCAGACCACGTAATTGTTGGTCGATGCAAACGCAGGCTCCGTGACGCCACCCGAAAGGACTGTCTGATTCCTGTGAGTGAAACAGGCGCATGTATATCTTGGAATGCGGTACCTAGACTTGAGTATGAGGGGACATCGAAGACTAGATTTGCGAGATTATGAGCCCGACAGCCGGAATGAGGACAATGCCAAATAAAGGTTGGAGGTTCTCCCACTTATCTTTGGAGTCGCTCCCAATGTCTTGTAATGAAGCTGCCGAGGCTCTGAAAGGCTCCCCGGCAAGGTGTTTATTTGCCGCCCTCGTAACCTTGCTTGGGTGCAGGGTCTTTTGGCACCAACAGATTTAGACGACGACCGCAAGGGGCAACCAGTGCTGTATGGAAGCAAGCGGTCGGCGTTGGATCAGAATTGGGAAGGGATGGCTGGTCTCCGGGATGAACCAAGACTTCTGGACGACACCGTACGGCAGCCAATTGTAGATCAGAGCCAGAAAGACAAGGGCATTGTGTGGGGAGACTAACGTAGAGAGTCGAGCCTCCTCCCCTTACGGGTGACTTGCCCCAGTCTAACAACGCGAATTGGTTAGCGGCGTATCGGACAAGGATAACTAGAGCACCAACACGAACTCAGACCTATTGGTATCATTGCACCAGATCGATGACACGAAAGATGAACCAAGAAGCGTAGTGTCACAGTGTGTACAGGCCGACCGTGCTTAGCGGACTTGGCTGCAGTGCCTCGGGAAACTGCCCATGTCGTCTCATTTCAACCCCAGTCGACAAACATGCAACAAACAACCAACAACCACTAGGGTCAGGACCACAATCAGGCTCGCATTTTTCGTTGCGGAAATAACGCGGAAACATGAGGGGCTCGTCTGAACACCGATTGACAAGATGACATTGACGAACCTGGACCGATGTTTTAGGCCTGAAGCAAGCAATTCACGGCGAGGCAAATGCTTCCTTGCCTCGAACTCTGCAATCTCGCAAACCAAGGTGTTCGGTATGACAACCATGATTCCACACTCACTTCATTACCGAGAGGTGAAAATTGGAGCACATGATGGTGACAACAGACGTATTAAGTGAAAATACATTTTCTCCCAAACCCGCTCTATGAGCAACTCTATTCGACATTGTGGCAAAGATCTATAATCGTCGATAGTCTTCTTTCACGCGCGGACTCCAAAATGTTTGACTTCGATCATGGGAGCCTAGCCCTTAACCTCATCGCTGCGTTGACGTTTTCAGCTCAATTGTTTTATTCTGGCTAGATAATTAAACCTCCGCCACGGCTGCTATCCTTGGGCATGAGGGATCGATGGGTAATGCGCTCGTCCATGTCAAAATCGAGGATGACCTTGGTCAGACGACGCAAATCTCGGCCAGATATTCCAATTAGCTCCAACGCCACCTTATATCTTGCATCGTCGCGGATACCTGTTCGGTTGATGGGATGCTCCTCTACTCCTTTTTGGGACCTGGGCTTCGGGGCCTGGGGCCTCCCTATCATTTTGCGTGTCTGCTGGAGACTGCCTGTCAGTCCCCGAGCGACGAGATAGTCCTTGACAAGGGCTGGATCAAGACGTCGTATCTTAGGGACTGTTTCCCAACTTGTGTCCTGAACCGAGTCCGAGTATCCTACCCATTGCACTCTCAGGCGCTTGCTTTGAGAGTCGTGGTCAAGAATTGCAAACACATTGAAGTGATCAGTCCCAATCGTCTCCTCGCGGGACTTCCCCAAAGCGCCCCAATACGCATATACTTTTGAGGGTGTCGCTTGTTGAACGATCACTTCGGGCACATTTCTGCGTGATTGATCGGTAGCTCGCTCTGTGATGAGGCTCACAGAATGGCCGTTGCGAGTTGACATATGACCGATTATTCTGTCGTCGTTGTCGTACTCTATGAAAAGTCACGGTTATACCCTGCAACGACTGGCGCTTGGGTTGATGATCATACCTTCGTCCTTGGGTTCGGTTGAATTTGAGCTGATGGTGGCGGTTTTGACACGTCTTTTCTTTGAGATCTGCTTTGTTGTGGTGCCAATCTTGGCGGAACCCCGCCTTTTGGGCGGCGATTCTTCTCGCTTGCCCCCGCGACGAGGAAATGCGTCTGAACCGATCGCACTTCGGCGGTAACGGTAGTGCGTTTGCGCCATGATGATATTAACTATCGTGCGGGGTTTTCCAGAGAAATATCCCGCGCAAGTTTGAGCCAGCAATCTTCAAAGAAGTTTGCGAGAGTTCCAAACACAACGCGGTGCGGCACGACGCGCTACCAGCCACCGTTCTAATGCTGTGTGACGGACACTTTGGATGCCTGATGAACGTCAGCTTGACTTGATAGGCCTGAAAGACGTCACTTGCGCGGCTGTCTCGTTATTTTGTACCTAGGGCGTACACCATAACGGGGACATGCGCGCACCTCTCAGTGGTGGGAATACTTGGGAAGTACCCACACTGCGGCGTACGGGGCATTCATCACACAACATGTGCAAGGCAGACTCGCTCTCAGAAGGCTCTGAGCTAAAGTCTGACAAACATTGTCTCTTCCCTTTCTGCGAGTCACGGGAACAATTTCCTATGAAAAGACGACGTGTGGCTTGCCTTTTTGCAGTGAAGACCAGCACGCATAATTGATCTGAGAGGGTGATGAACACCATATTCAATGGATTTAACCGCCGGCATTAATCTTGTCAGGGTCGTCAAACGCCGCTAGTACCCTCATTCTAAAGGCTTCAGGAGATGACAGGCATTGCAAACGTCGGTGGTGACATTGAGTACGTTTAGCCCTATTGGTAATATTAAAAACGATTCTCTCTACTATACTCTTATCCTTATTACTACTACTGCCGATGCTACTCCCGTTGTCTTCACCATCGTCGTTGTTGTCATCTTCGTCTTTGCCGTCTCCGCTCTTATTACTATGCTTCTATTGGATTTGGTTTGCTCTAGCAGTTGTTTGTACATCGGTCCCTGACAGATCGGTCTGATCGTCTTGAATCGGGACCGCAATATCCGTCTCTTTTATTGATGAATTTCTGTTGCCGCATCGTCGTCTACTGCAGAACGAGTAGCTTCCCAACCGAAGGTCTGTACCTGGCCACAATACGTTGGTCGACTCCGCTAAATTCATACCGAGGTTTACCACCTGATGATAGGTGTACGGCAGGGTGACAATCAATTCCCCAGGTTTGCAGACGACAATGTTGTACTTGATCCCCCAGCTGTCTAGTGTCTCCTGTGAGAATAGTATATTTGCATGCCGGATGAACTGCGAACACGTCTTGCGCCCATATGAAGGTCGTCGGCCACCGCTCGTTTTCCCGCCTAACGTCCTGGAAGCAGCGAACTCTTCGAGCCTCCTTGATGAACCAGGCTCAATGATCAACCACGTCTTTGGTGAGCCCCAGCGGACCATGTTGACAGAGGGAAACCCCGCATCTTCGATGTGCATTGGTGTACAGGTACCTCCATCTTTGGCGAAGTAAAAGTAGGGAGCCGTAATTCCAGGGTAATGGCGTTTAGGCTCAAGCAGATGCTCTAGATGTGGTCTACAGGTAAGGTATGTCTGCATTTGATTCGAATGCTGCACCGACTCCCAATCTCCGAGATAGTAATCGCATGGTGATGAGGGCTTTTGAGAAGCCGACGAGAAGACAGCGTTTTCATCCACATCGTCGGCGTCGTGGAGAGGAATATTTATGCTCTGATCGAATGCTTTGGCGCTGAACAGAATCTGAATGTTTCCATCTTGGCCAATCGGGGAGTAAGTCGCACTATAATTGTCTCATTGGATTTTGGAGCTATTGTGATGAAGTTGTCGGAGGGTTCATGGTAGTCGACGACCTTAACCTTTGCAAAACCTTTCAGAGTCACTGCTTGATCTCCGCACAAGGTGCCCAGTGTATCGCTTGTGCTTTCGCGAAGATCTGCGAGCCTACACGTAGGGTCATCCTGGCTAGAACGCTCAAAATCTTAGTGACGTGACCCAGAAACAGGGAGAGACGGGGGAGAAGCTGACATTTGGAGTCGTTCATCATCGTTAGAGATTCTGCCCAGGCCAG